TATAAAAGATTAGTTGTGGGAAATCTATCTTTCATGAAATCATACTGAACTGAAGTCATTTTTCGATTAACGTTCCTATAAATTACATCATGTAAAATTATTTCGAAGAAATTGGAAAACTTGCGTGTAATAGCTATCGGTCTATAGTTCTCGGTAACGCTTTTATCGCCTTTTTATGAATAAGACACATTTTGATGATTTGCATAAGTTGCGAAAGGTATAGCTTTTCAAAATTTAAAAGGTACGATAAGGGGGCGACCAAGGCAAATGTACAATCTTGTATTAAGAAGGATACGATACAATACGATATGCGGTAATAATAAAATCATGCTAGTAATTAATGCTTCTTTGTAAACAGGGATACATAATCTAGAACAATAGAATCGGTTGCTCTTCGAGTTACCAAAAAAAAATTAAAATGGCAGATGTACATGCCACAATACACAAGTATTAACATAAAAATCGTTTTTTAACACGACATTAAAGAATATAATTAGCAGTTGCTGAATAAAATCGTGGATTAACGTACGAAGTATTTACTAGGTCCCTGTCATATTTTTCATTATTTAACATGAAATTATGGAACTTGATCTAATGACTTATCTAAATAAAAGTAAAAATTCGCTATATTAATATGTGTCAGGTAAATAATTCAATACAGTACCGCTGAAATCGGTGTTACTAAATCTACAGATATAATCAACGGCGAGAATTTTATTGTTGAAATTCTGAAACAATAGAATAAATGTAATTTTTCATTACAAATTGTTTTGCAGGGTATATAAAAGTCTAGCATGCAAACACGGTCAAGTTATTCAGAAGTACTGTTATATTATTTATACGAATAAAAAATCGCAGCACAAAGAACCTATCAATACTACGCTATACAAACAGAATACATGGAAAGTGAATGGATCGAAGGCGAAGTACACAGAAAGAGAGTATAGTAGAGTGAATGATTTCATTTCATATTTCTTCCTTATTGTTACCATATACCTACTGAAATAAATCATTCCACTCTTAATACAAAATTTTAGAATAAAAGTCAATCACGAAAATAAAACACCACAATCCATAATATACTTTAACTCATGCCAGACCAACACAAGTATAGCAATAACAAACTCATCTACGAAGTCTATTCAGAAAGTAACCGTACTTTAATTTTTTAAACTGTATTATTAGTTTTATGCATTATCCAACCTTGTCTCCTTCAAAGTACCCCCCTCCTCTATTCACACACTTTTTCCAGCAGTGTTTCCATTTCGGGAATCAATCCTGGAAAGCTTCATTTGAAATGGCCTTTAAATCTGAATTTACTTTGATGTCATCAATACTCTGAAAACGGCGTCCTTTCACCACTGATTTTAATTTTAGAAAAAAAATATCGCAAGGCGTCAGATCTGGCGAGTAAGGAGGATGAGGGAGGACAGTAATCTGATTTGACACAAAACTGACCAATGGACAAAGCTGAGTTTACGGGCGCATTGTCATGGTGCGAGAACCACGAGTTGTTTCGCCACAACTCTTTAGTTTAGTTTAGCAGCTTTAACCAGTTGTAGACAAGGAAGAATGTTTGGATATTAGAAATTTTTGTACGTTCATTCTTAAAGATACATTTGAAGTAACATTAAATCATCCATGAGATGAAGAAATAGCTTTTGAGTCTCCCTCTTATACGTCTTGTCCTTCAGACACTGTTAAACGACACTTTCTGACATCGTTTTTCTGTTTTTTCCTCTTCTCACTCTAATGCAAGTAACTATTACGAAAAGTAGCGAACTTGCTTTTCTTAATTGTGGTCAGAGAATCACATGTATAATTTTATCGGTCGAATATAATATAATATAATATTATTATANAAGGAAATTTCACTCTTAGTATGCAGGGTGTGCCATTTAACACTCCCGCTGCCAATATCTCCGAAATGAAGAAATTTATTTTAGTTCCGGAAGCTGAGGTTATTAGGTCCCTAGAATAGCTTCAAATTGCAGTTAGAATTATTAGTTCAAATCTTTATGTATACTGCGATACTAAAAAAATTTTTTGATGCCTAGAACGTGGAAATGCGGGTAATTTTTGTAATATACTTGTTTTCAAGATATGTCGGCTTCAATATTATATTATATTATATTATATTATATTATATTATATTATATTATATTATATTATATTATATTATATTATATTATATTATAAAATTTTAACCAGTTACTTTCAATTTGCTGATATTTTGGATATTTTGTATGTTTTCTACCGGATGTTTTTAATTTTCCATTTTTTTAAGTTTATATTCATCTATTAAATAAAGAACAATAGTATTTGATTTGTTCTTTATACCATGTGTAAATATTTATAGTTTTTTTAAGTTCTCACAATAATTTGACAAATACATCAATTCATAGTTAAACAGCTTCCTTAACAATACAGACAATATTCAATATTCTCTAGTTAGAAGAAAGGACAAAAAATAATTATTCTGTAAGCTATTTTGTAACTAAAATATTTTTATTTCGGTAAATCATTATAGTGCGAAAACATAAAATTGCTGGTAGTAATTAAGTTATTAACATTATTATATAGAGAAAAATTAGATATTGAAATATAGGTACGAGATATATTTTTTTGTTGTTTTTATAATTCCATAATTTTGTTCATTATCTTTCAAAACATTATTCGTTCATACATTTTAATGGAGTTTTGATATTTTTGCATTGTAATACGAATAATTTGAAATGATAATATGTATACATTTTAGTTATATACATATTAAGAGTATTCGAGTATTGCAACATTGTTTAATCAGATAGAATCGCTTTTATAATATTAAATTGAATATGCAAATCCATTTATTTCATATAGGTATAGAACAACATATATACGTAACATTTGGATTAATATGAAATAATCAAAATTTTTAATAATTAATGAATTACAAGTGCAACTACATAATAATTAAATTAACACTGCAAAGTAAATGTATGTGGAATAGTTTCCGATCATTATTTGCATTTTGTAAAATATGAAGGAAATTTCACTCTTAGTATGCAGGGTGTGCCATGTAACACTCCCGCTGCCAATATCTCCGAAATGAAGAAATTTATTTTAGTTCCGGAAGCTGAGGTTATTAGGTCCCTAGAATAGCTTCAAATTGCAGTTAGAATTATTAGTTCAAATCTTTATGTATACTGCGATACTAAAAAAATTTTTTGATGCCTAGAACGTGGAAATGTGAAAGATTATCCACTGGCCTCATACGCCCACGC